GTGATCCCAGATGGGTGGGGTCTTCAGACAGGTTAACAGCGACCAGCTGATTTGAAATGAATACATTGTGATGGTGCTGATGCGATAAATGTCTCCCAGCTCAATTTAACCTGAGTCTGACGAAGTGACTGAAACCTCTGAGATTTTTAAAATCTTTTTTCAGTCTTTGATCTGCTGCTGTGTATTCTCATCTTTAAAAGCTTAACACATTATGAGATTAAACACTTCATGTGAAATCATTCCTTGAGAGAAAACACTCACTGTTTTTCAGAGAAGACCGACCGACGTCTGCTTCTGTAACCGTGGAGCTGCGATCAGGATGTACGTGGCATTTTTTTTGTTTTTGTTTTTTGTCTCTGATTTATTTCCTGACCTTTTGCCTTCAGGAGTTTTTGGAGTATGAACCTGCTGTACATGTGTCTCTGATGGGCAGCTTCACGAAGCTGCAGCAGACTCGGTTTTATTAAAGATTTGAGGAATGAAGTGTATGCTGCTCTTGTGCAGTTTATGACACGTTTGTTGTTATATATGATGACAGCGTGTTTGTGGATGTTCTAGGTTTTTTTTTTTTTTAAATAAAACTATTGGAGAGGGGTGTTTTTGTTTTGTTTTTTTAAGGAAAGACTACATTTCCAAAATTACAAAACTGAAACCTTTAAATAAGAAAAATCTAAAGTTTTTCTTAAAAATTTGTGATTTCAATCTCAGAATTAGTAAAACATTTTATTTTTCTAGATTGTTTTCATATATTTGTTATGATGTATATAGATTTTAATTTAATTGTTAACATATTTTAAATTTTTCTGCTTCAAAAGTATAGCAGAGCTGATACAGTCCACACAGGCCAAGGACACTGTCACTAAAGCAAGCAGGCAAGAATAATTTGCATTGCGTTCACTTTACTGAAAACAAAACAAAAACCCTGTATGAGCCACAGTGAATTTATAAAGTACTGCACCTGAAACATTCTCTATACTTTGATTATCGTCGGCATCTATCGGACTGCAGGTGTCAGAGCTTGTGTTTAAATTTTCTTCTTGTTGTTTGCTTTCAGACAGAGGAGCTCTGAGAAACACTTTGTAGCACACATTGAATACTTTGTATCTTTGACTGCCTGATACACTCACGCCATGGTTTTAAACTTGATTATATACAGCAATAACAATATTGTGGCCCGTACGGGGATCGAACCCGCGACCTTGGCGTTATTAGCACCACGCTCTAACCAACTGAGCTAACCGGCCATGTGGCCATAGGAGCCCGATCCCCGCACTCCGAGATTCTTACGTTGTCAGCAGGACTCCAACTTTTTCCTCTTGTCCGTGTCAATGGTGTCACTCGTCAATATGCAGGGCCGGTTAGCTCAGTTGGTTAGAGCGTGGTGCTAATAACGCCAAGGTCGCGGGTTCGATCCCCGTACGGGCCAGTTTAAATTTATTGGGCAGCTTTGGTATGTGGATAAAAAAAGAGAATAAACAGACAATAATGCCATTCTGTCGCAAGATACACTGATCTACACCAAACTTGGACCCAAGAGTGGTGTCAATTATTAGAATCATCACAACAAAGACTTAAATCCGAACAACTAAAGGCTGCTTTATAAGAATACTCTCGGCAAAACTAAGTAATCCTGTTGGAATTACACATCTTAGATTATACTTATTCTTCTATTATACTCTTATATTAAGACTTCTTATTTACATGCGCAGTTAAAGCCATGCATGTGTGCATGCATATGGACATGGGAAGAGGCCTGAATTACACAATCACACAGAAACAGCCCAGTCGGGACATTATTGCTGTGAAGCAACAGTGCTAACCACTGCGCCACCACCTTGAGAAAAAATATCACAGACACACATATGCTTGTGTTTTTTCTTAAGAAAGAAATTACTTTTGAATTTTACTTTGGATTAATCACTTTAAGAAGATATGAATGTGAGATTCATTTTGAGGCAGATTTATTGTCTCAAAATGAATCTCATGAGTCTCAAAACTTTATTTTATTAATCTTTAATTAAAGAAAAAGTTTTGGGGTTTTTTTTGTCTTGGGATTATACAATCAGATTTTCAAGGGGGAAAGGGGCATGGTTTTGATATTTCTCTTTAAATTTTTTCCAGTTGGCAGCTGCCATGAATACTGTATAATTTGCACTTTAATTAATTATTTTAGCTTTGAAATTGTCACAGATTGACTAATGTTTAATTGCTTGAAAAATATATACATATAAATAAAGGTAATACTGTTAATAACACACAAGATGATAAAATTTGAAAATAATAAGAAAAAACTTATGAAAAGCTGCTAAGCATAGCGTAGCTATTTCTCGCGTGAAACGTGTGACTCCCTATCTGCTCTCTCATTGGTCCATTTCATTTAGAGCTTTACACCCATTGGCCGGCCGAGTTGCCACTCTCTGGGTGTGCGGCGTGTGGTTCCTGTTGTGAGCTTCAGCCGGTGTCTGACAGCCTGGCGGGGAACGAACCGAAGGAAAATGGAATCGTGTAGCTCAGACAGCAGTGAAATTTAAAAGCCACTCTCACGGTGGAAGCATGAAGCTCGCCGCGATGGCTTTTTACGGTTTGGCCGCGGGGCTGCTGGCGGTCGGCCTGCGAGAGTTGCTGACAGGCTTCGAGGAGAACAGATGCAGTATGACCTATATGTTTGAATACCCGGAGTATCGGGTGAGTACTCAGCTAATTATCTCAGAGCATTCCAAAGACCCGCATATCAGCCATCAGTTAGGTATATTCGGTGTGCTGTTTAAGGCAGAGGCTGGTTGTGTGTCGCTAAGTGGCTTCTTATTTTTATTAGCGCGAATGAATGTTGGTTTATGACTGCCAGGTGTGTTCTAAGCTAGTTTCTGAAGGCTGCTAGCGTTAACTGAGGGAGAAAGTAATGTCAGGTGCGTGGCTACCCTATCAGTGTGTGTGGTCGCTCTTTCAGTACACCTATGTCCTCCCTGACAGGTGTGTGAGTGTTTGTTTGCTGAGGTTTGGGTTTAGGTTAGTCGGATTATTAT